CCCAAATTCGCCTATTCCAAATAATGAGTTAATTCCACAAATTCCAAAGCAGAAATATAAGGATCAAATAAAGGAGCGATAAATTTAATAACCATAGCATTTTATTACATTAATTAATTAGTACTGAAGAACAAACATAACAGACAACTCCAACCAACGCTGATTAATTAGAGTACAATAAAATCGAAACTCAAATTATTCTAGTTTTTTTGTCCAATTTCTAGAGGATGTTACAAGAAGAAGCAGGTTTTGAATCTCCGGTGCCGGTGCCGCCGTCAGCGCCGTCGGAGACAGTCTCCTCGCCGGTGGTTTTGACACCGGGCCAATCTTTGCACTGACAGTGTTGGCCTTCTGGGATTCGATTGTAGACGGAGGGGACATGTCGTCCACAACCACCCCAACCAGTCTTTCCACAGCTCGAACACTTGACCTCGTAACACATGATTATTTTGTTTTCTCCGAATGTTGTTGTAAGAATGAATTTTAGTTTGTGTGTTTATGAAAGGGAAAGAAGGATTGGGTGTTGTTATATATAGTGAATGAAAGCGTGTTGAATTGAATGTAGTAATAAGTTTGTAGATATGTTCAATATAATGTCCGAATTTAGTGGGTTGACTGACTTTTTAACGGCCTCTTTTTCAAGGTGTTGAAAGACTTCTCTTATTTATATGCACTATAAATATTTTTCTTGGTTTTCCACCCGGTGTTTGGAGTCCACATTAGAGCTCCGATTAAATTCGAATCGGGCACTGTAGGCCCATTCAGGTGTGATGCTCTCAACATGATTTTTTTCATATTCATGACTCAAATACGAGATCTCTGATTAAGGGTGAAGTACTCACACCAGTGCACCACAACTCATGTTGGTAAATACTATATAGCTTATTTACCAGAGTATAAAGGTAAATATGATTATTTATTTATTTATTTTTGATTTATTAATTATTATTAAAATTTAATTATACAAAAATGGATTTAGTCGAGCTTAGATTTAATCTTTTGTGTGATTTTTGAATTATTACACATAAGAGATTTACTCGATGGACAACACAAAAAATAGAGGCTTCGAGTTTTCCACAAATTCCAAAATATATGTATATATTTTGTTTAGAAATGTTCTCCTTTTTCTTTTCTATTATGAGTTTATTTGTTTCAAATCATATTAAAAGAACCATGAAGTACATCCTTCTGAATCTCAAAATTCTGAAAATATAAGGGAGCCAAACTATTTTGACTTTAAAAAACAAGTGACATTTAATTTGAGTTGGTTGTTTGGTAACTCAGCATGCCCATAGCTAAATTGTTAGGGTGGTCATAGGACATTTATTACTGGCTCATCCAAACCTAGAAAATTTGGCAACAACCTTTATACATGAGCCAAAAAATATTCACTAAACTAGTTCAATAATAAAATTTAAATTTCTTTAATAAAACAAATTATGGTAATGTCATGAACATAAATTCATAAAACTTAATTTAACTCCAGACAATGAATGTTACTAATACTAAAAGGTGAAGTCACTACATCAAAAATGATTTTTTGCGATGATTAATTAATTACTAATAATAGCTTAATTGACGCTAAAACATGTTTTTAACAATATTTAGCACTTGTAAATGTCCTTAAAACTTATAGCGACACTGAATCCGATGACAATTAACTAATGTCAATAAAAAATTCATCACTCTTTGTTAATATGTATATTTATTACCACTAAAAATTTGTTTTTATCGCAGTGAGCCTAGTGGTAGAGAGGGTAGTTGATTCCATTTCCATTGACAATTTTGCAGATAAAAATACTAAAGTAATAGAAAGTGATGGAGAATTGAAAAAGAATTCTAAATGGTGATGATAGCAAGTAAGGTCCAGTCTCTAACGGCGTTACACGAAAGTCCAAAAGGCAAAAGTTTGACGATTTCTACTACACGAATATTACTACAATTAATTATAAATATTCCAGCTTCTTGTAAAGACCGGCAAACACCTACTAGGTTTATATTATGTAATTTTCTATCCAATTTGCTACTCTTTTTTTTATTCGGATGACAGGTGATATGGTCCAAATCATAGTAGGTAGATTCAAATTTTAAATGTTATAAATTTGGCCTTTTGACGTTTTAGTATTGAATTTATTATACTATAATTAAATTGAAGGTTTCGAGCCTATTAATTCTTAAAATTTAATTTAATTATTTATATAAATTTATATTTCGTATTGAATTCAGATAAACACAGTGCTATAAGATTGAAGTTGCCTGTTCAAATTATCACAAGTTAAGTCGTAGCAAAATAATCTTATTTGAAATAATGAACTAGTTTCCTCTCCCTAATTTAAGAGTTTGGTTATGAGCAATCATTAAAACTTCAAATCGCACCTTTTATTTATAAATTTATAACAGATGATATAAGGTTGTATCCGACTTTTCAAACTATCACAAGTGAAATCGTAATAAAATAATCGTATTTGAATTAATGAACTAGTTTTGTCTCCCTAATATAAGTGTTTTGCCTATGAACCGTTAGTAGAACAAGTCCTCGAAATGCCTTTTCGAATAGGAATAACTCAAATAATGTTTATGGGCCGTTTATTTAGACAGAGAATGTTGAGCTAGAGAATAAATCGCGAACTGGCCAGTTATTGGGATAGCCCAACAAAAGAATTATTTGCGATACAAGTTGATATATATCGAGTATTGTGGAAGTAATAGGTTCATACCAATTATGTTGAAGCCTTGCATATTATCGTATCTCATCCCCTTTTGGTTACATTTTTCTCGAGTTATTCTAAGATTTCCTTATTACTATTGTTCACTAGTATCTTGTTCTTCTAATTCTCAGTTATAATTTGGATTCAGTAAGTATAATATACGTAGTCTTTGTGTTGAGAAATTCAGATTGTTACAACAATAAAACACTTCACAGTATTTTACTTGTTCTAATATATCATGGACTGAATTATATTAGCTTCTATTTAAGTTCACACGAAAAGAACTAAAATAAGAGATGAGAGTGGACCTCTTGTATGTTAGCTAAACTGGGCCTTATATTGGGCCGTATCCAGGACTTCAGAGTTAAATTGGAAATGGTCCTAAGCCATTTGGGCTTACTCCAACTTCAACGTATTCTATTTGAAAATAAAATTTCTCTTTCGCGAATGATAAAATTAAACAACGATAGTAATAATTTCAAGACACAAATTAGAGATGATGCTTGAAGGTTTTTAAGAAATGATCAAGGGAATTGAATATTTGATACGCGGTTAAAGTAAAGCTTTACTTTTAAGTCTCGTCATAGAATTATGGAACATAAAAAAATGGGATGAAATTAACAAAGGAAATGAGATAACAAATAGTTAGAATGCTTACTTGCCGTCAAAATTATTAATGATGAGAACATACAATATCACTTTCCTCATATTAATATATGAGGAAAGACAAACCAATATATCGACTTTCTAACACAAGAAAGATAAGGGATAAGAGTCTGAAAAATATCCCAACTTTGGTCGGATTTGCTGTTGCGATATTAAACTTTCATAAGGACCTATTACCTCCCTAGACTATTTAATACCGTATTTTTTACCCCCTGAACTATTTAATAGTGTATTTTAAAGGTATATATGTGTCCACGTGGACACATTACTATTTATAATTTTGCATTATTTTTTATGTCCACGTGGGCAAATATATATGTTTAAAATACTGTATTAAATAGTCTAGGGAGGTAATAGGTCCTCATGAAAGTTTAGTATCGCAACAGCAAATCTGACCAAAATTGAGGTATTTTTCAGACCCTTATTTCAAGATAGAAGCATAAAAAAAAGGATTTGCTAATATGAAAAGTGCAAGCAAGAATATGAAGTTTCCTCTCTTAACAGATTTTAAGTCAGGTAAATTTCAATTGATTTTCTTCTCTATTGTATTTTCGATGTACCAAAACAAATATTTTTCTATAAATCACTCTCTCAAAACGAAGTACTACTTATAACTATTATAACTATGTTTCAATGTTAAAGTTAGAAAAAATTTCAACCATGCTCAATTTCTAAAATCACCATTATATTAGCTTTTATCCTTGAAAATTCTTATTAATTATTTCATTTCTTGTTTCCCTCCATTCCACGCAATCCAGTAGTAAAATTGCACGTTTTTCATTTTTTTTTCCTTTTCTACCTTTTTTTTTTTGTTTGTTCATATATTCGATATAAATGATGGACATTAATTATGACGTACTAATTAAGGGTAAGATATGAACCGAATAAGAACATTGTTAAAGCAATTTAGCTAAGAGGTTGACATGACTTACCATTAATTCTATGTATCAAAGAATATTATTTCATCACAATTATTTGGTCGTCTAATAAGAATCTAATAATATATATATTTATGTAAAATATTCATTATTTTCTTCAACTTATAGACAAGATCAATTGATTCTCCCAACTACAAAGAAAGATAATTAAGTAGTTACGTTTTAAAATCGTCATATTGGTTTCCCATTTATATATGCTTATATACAAAAATGAATATTCTTTGCATTGATCATTTGGTACGTGGACAAAGTTATTCCATGATTATTAGTTTTGAGATTATAGTTTCTATTAAGATTTAATTAATTATATTGTAACTAGTATCTTTGGTTAGTTCAGTAGTTAGTTAACTGCAGTAGTTAGTTGACTACATAGCTACAGTAGTGAGTCAGTTAGAATGTCAAGAAGTTAGTTAGGATATTTTTTTACTATTTGCTTAGCTGGATACAACTGTCAACATTTTTGTTCATGTGTATAAGTACTTGTATCAGTCAATGGAGAAGGTGCGATTTCTCATTCTCTCAAAACTCAGATCTCGTGAATTGCTCTTTCTCAATTGCCAATTATAGTTTCTCTATTTTAGGGCATTCACCTTTGTTGTGAAGTTTTGTTATGGTATCAGAGCAAGGTCGGTTTCCGTCCTTCTCGAGCTAGAATTTCGCCCATTTTTTTCTCAGCTAAGTTTCTTCCATGGAAGGTACTGAGAACACTGCCGGAAGTAGTACTTTTGGAGGTAATAATGTTGGGAATGATACAAGCAATGCTCTCTATGTACATCGCTCTGATAACCCTGGGATGGCACTTGTTCTAGTCCAATTTGATGGCACAGGATATCGATCTTGGAGAAGAGGAGTTCTGCGAGCTTTATCAGTGAAGAACAAGCTCGGTTTCATCGATGGCAGTTGTGAGAAGCCACATGCAGATTCGCCTACTTCGCGACAATGGCAGCGATCAACGATATGGTAACATCTTGGATTTTGAATTCCTTCACTAAAGAGATTTCAGATAGTGTTGAGTATGTCAATGATTCAGTAGATCTTTGGAAAAAACTTGAGGACAGATACGATCAAACCAATGGAGCAAAGTTATACCAGATCCAAAAGGAGATCAATGAACTCACACAAGGTACTCTGGATATTACTATTTACTATACTCGAATGAAGAAACTATGGGAAGAATTGAACACTTTGAATGTGAGAAATCAGTGCACTTGCATCTGTAATTGTGGAGTTAGGAATGGAATGCACAAAGCCGAACAAGACAGACGTTTAATACAATTTCTGATGGGAATGAATGAAGTGTACACTGTGGTTAGGGGAATTATTCTTATGATGAATCCCCTCCCTTCGATGGCACAAGCTTTTTCGTTACTAATCCAGGAAGAAAAATAGAGAGAATTTCTCCCTAGTAGTCGAATGCCTATGGAATCCACTAGGTCCTTTTCAAGGGTCTAGCAAGGGTCCAATGGAAAGAACTACATGGCATCCTTTTCAAATGATACCTATGCTGGAAACAATAATGTCTCAGGAAACAACAATTATGGAGGAGCCAATTACTACTCAGGCAGTAATAGTGACAGAAATGCCAAGTTTTGTGACTATGGTAAGAAATCAGATCACATTAATGAGAAGTGCTACAAGTTACACGAGTACCCACAAGGACACAACAATCAGAATCACAGGAACAATGAATATCCACCAAGGCAAAACAATAATCAAAATCACAAAGGAAAGAGGGTTGCAGCTAATGTGCATGGTGATGACATAATGCCTACTCAGGGGGAAGATTTTTCACAAGGTAGTCATAATCAAAATGCCAGACTCACTAAGGACCAATGCACTCACATCATGAACCTTCTGCAATAATTTCAGAATGAACATACAAGAGAGGATCCAACTACTTCAAACAACAATGCTGTGAATTTTGCAGGTATTGTGGTTTGTTCCTCCTCTATTGATTTTAACGATCCTTCATGTAAGTGTTTTAAATCAAGTGCTGACTTATGGATCATTGACTCGAGGGCATCCAACCATTTAACCTTTAACAAATCTTCCTTAACTAACATTCAGACCCTACCTTATCCTATACTTATCTCACTTCCCAATGGATATAGAGTTAGGGTAACATAATTTGGTGATGTAATGATCACACCTAAGATTGTTTTGCACAAAGTATTATATGTGCCTTCTTTTAAATATAATCTGATTTCAGTGCATTCATTGACTCTTTCCATGAATTGCATAATTTTGTTTACTAGTGCATCTTGTCTGTTACAGGCCCCTTCAGTGAAGAGGCCTCATGCAATTGGTAATAGCAAGGATGAGCTTTATTTTCTCTGCTCAAAATGCCTGAAGAGCACCACCAAAAGCTCCATATGTTGTTGTTTGTCTTATAACAACATTTTCATTCCTAATTCTAGTAATAAGATTTCTAGTGTTGAACACAATTCTGTCAAATGTACTTCTGTTAAGGATTCTGCAAGTTTATTCACAGCTGATACAACTGACTCTCATTCTGTTAATGTTCCTAAAATTGTTGTATGCTCTTTGAAGTTTTCCAAAGTCTCAAATTGATTTTCGTCTTGTTTCGTAGTGAATTTATGGATTTGGCTTGAATCGAACTCATCTATTTATTTATGGCAAATCTTGACCATCGTTTCCAAGGGAAATTGATTGAATGCACAATCACGAGCCAAGCTGGATTTCTGATAATGATCAAAACATGTTGACTAATAATGATTCATGTGCATCTACTAAACATAGTGTGGACTTGCTGTGGCATAATAGACTTGACCATGTGCCTTTTGAAAAACTGAGGAACATTCCTACACTTCCAGCCAATTTCTCTCCCAAACAACTTTTCAACGGCACCATTTACCTTATGGCAAGACAACAAAGATTGCCATTTAACCAAAGTACTACACATTCCAATGTTATTTTTTACCTTCTCCGCGTTGACCTCTGGGGACCTTACCTTGTATCCATACATGATAACTTCAAATACTTATTCACCATAGTAGATGACTACAGCAGGGCCACCAGGAATCACCTTTTAAGCACCAAAAACAATGCTTTGCAAGTTCTAAAAACCTTTGTAGTTATGGTAGAGAATCAGTTCCAAATCACAGTAAAAAGTGTCAGGTTAGATAATGAACTGGAGTTCAATAATGCTGAAACCAGCAATTTTTTCCAAACCAAGGGAATACTACATCAGAAAAGTTGCCCTTACACACCCCAACAAAACAGTATAGTAGAAAGGAAGCACAAGTATTTGCTCGAAACAACAAGGGCCCTCCTCTTTCAATCAAAGCTTCCTGTAAAATACTGGGGTGAATGTGTCCTTACAGCCACACACATCATAAACAGACTTCCCTCAAATTATCACAAGAACAAATGCCCTTATGAGATCCTTTATAAAACCAAACCAAACTACAATCAACTTAGATCCTTTGGATGCCTATGTTATCCCACAGTACTTAAAGTACACAGAGACAAGCTTGAACCTAGAACTACACCTCATATTTTTGTAGGTTATCTCTTTGGAACAAAAAGATATAGGGTAATGAGTCTTGCCACAAAGAGAATACATATGTCTAGGGATGTAATTTTTCATGAAAACATTTTTCCTTTTACTTTATCTTCATAAAAGTGTACTTTTCCTCCTGTTCTTAAAACAACTCTTTTTACTAATTTTACTGATTATGTTGAATCAAGGCCTAATAATGATTTGTTGAATCAATACTTAGATGTGATTCCTGATAACACTAATATGTCATCTCATCCTCCATCTCCACAAACATCTTATGATCCATCATCAGTTTCATCACCTGACCCTACTACATTATTTCCTCATCCTGCAGTAGTGCAAAGGAGATCCTATAGAGTGAATAAAATCCCTTCACACCTAAATGATTACATTGTCTCCATCCCTGCCTTGAAACCCCATACTGCCACTCCACAAAATAGTTCAAACACTTTTTCCCTCAATTCCCTGTTCGCCAAACACCATCACATATCCCCCAATGTCCTTGCATCCACTAGTCAAGTAGTTGTTGAAAACATTTGCCATGCTGGTGAGCTTTCATCATATGAGGAAGCAACCTTGAGTCCTGCCTGACAGAAGGCTATGTTGCAGGAGTTTGATGCACTTTATGCAAACAATACTTGGGATCCTGTAAAACTTCCTGCAGGAAAACAAATCATTAGATGTCGACGGGTATATAAAGGTAAGCATAAATCAGATGGAAGCATAGAGAGATTTAAGGCAAGATTAGTCGTAAAAGGGTATACTCAACAAGTCGGGGTGGACTATACAGAGTCTTATTCACCAGTGATCAAAATGACAACTGTAAGGACCCTAATTGCATGTGATGTTAAGAAGGGTTGGGATATGTTCCAACTTGATGTGAACACTGCTTTCTTTTATGGTGACCTTCATGAGGAGGTGTATATGAAGGTACCACAAGGAATTGATGTAAATGACACAGGTTTGGTATGCAAACTTAATAAATCTCTATATGGTCTCAAGCAAGCAAGTCGACAGTGGTATGCTAAGTTGACTGAGGCCTTATCACTCAGAGGTTATGCTCATTCTCATCACGATTACTCCCTTTTCTACAAGAAAGTTGGTCCTTTAGTAGTCTTTGTACCAATATACGTTGATGATGTTATTCTCACTGGTACAGACACAAAGGAAATCACTCAGCTAAAGACCTACCTAGACGACTCATTTAAGATCAAAGATCTTGGTGATTACATTACTTCCTAGGTTTGGAAATACTTGATACTCCAGGAGGGGTCCTTATATCTCAAAGAAAATTGGTACTGGATCTATTGAAGGAGTATAATTGTCTCAACTACAATCTTTTTTCTTCTCCTCTTGATCCAAATGTCAAACTCAGGGCCAAAGAAGGAACTCCACTACCTGATCCTACATATTATAGAAAACTGGTGGGTAAGCTCAATTTTCTCACTAATACCAGATTGGATATAACTTTTAGTGTCCAACAATTGAGTCAATACATACAAGATCCCAGAGCTCCTCACCTGCAGGCTGCCTTCCACCTCCTCAGATACTTAAAACAAGACCCTACTTTGGGAATTCATATGTCAGACGATCCTGATTGCACTGTCAAAGCATATTGTGATTCGGATTGGGCCTCTTGCCTAGATTCTAGAAAATCAGTTAGTGGATACTTAGTTCTACTTGGAAATAGTCCTATCAGTAGGAAATCGAAGAAATAGACCATTTCTTTATCATCCGCGGAGGCAGAGTACATATCTTTAAGAAAAGTAGTAGGTGAGTTAGTTTGGTTGCAAAGACTACTCACTGAGATTACTATATCTGACCCTTCACCCATTGACGTCTACTGTGATAGTCAGTCTACTATTCACATAGCCCGTAATCATGTCTTTCATGAGAGAACAAAGCATATCGAAGTCGATTGTCACTTTGTACGTAATAAACTTCAGGAGGGGCTTATTTCTCTTCATCACATCTCCACAACAGAGCAGCTCACAGTGTCCTTACCAAGGCTCTTACTGGAGTTAAACACTCAGCAGTTTTGGGCAAGCTAGCTGTGAGATCCTCACTACCACCTTGAGGAGGGGGTATTAAGATTTAATTAATTATATTGTAACTAGTATCATTGGTTAGTTCAATAGTTAGTTAAATGCAGTAGTTAGTTGACTACATAGCTACAGTAGTGAGTCGGTTAGAATGTCAAGAAGTTAGTTAGGATATTTTTTTACTATATGCTTAGCTAGATACAACTGTCAACATTTTTGTTCATGTGTATAAGTACTTGTATCAGTCAATGGAGAAGGTGCGATTTCTCATTCTCTCAAAACTCATATCTCGTGAATTGCTCTTTCTCAATTGCCAATTATAGTTTCTCTGTTTTAGGGCATTCACCTTTGTTGTGAAGTTTTGTTAGTTTCGAAACTAATTTATTCTATTTTCAAATAGGATAAAATAATAACATCAAGTTTGAAGTGTAAAACTCTGAAATAAGTTATATGTTCATAAATAAAATATAAATTTAATCCCGAAATATCCCATTATATTTGATGAACGAAATGATTTTTATTAGATTTTTATGAGATTGGTCTAAAACCGGCTATATATGCCCTAATATTTTTTTTATTTTTTTTTAAGAAAACAATATTCTTTAATCTTTAATTAGCTGTTTGCCATTGTTCAACAAAGTGATCACATCATTTAAATTGAGTCGCATCAATGTTTATCCTTTATACTTTACGTGTAGATACTTTTGTCTACAGTAATAGTGATTAATTAGTGGGTGTGTTATTATCTGGAAAACAATTAAATTTAATTTTCGTATTCTTAGAAAAGAATATATATATATATGCAAGGGGTGACAAAATATTTC